GACCAACCGACCTTCGATGTTAGCATAAGCTTCAATGACATATACTGCCTAACTGCGCAGGCCGGGAATATTACTAGGTATCAGTCGCCATGCCTCATGCCTTGGACAGGTTCTTAAATTAGATGTGAGAGGAAGGAAGAAAAAAAAGAAAAAAAAGGCCTTCAAAAGGAAAAGAGCAAAGACAGTTACTATGACAACAACGCCCTGCGATCTATGAAACAAGGGTAGAGAAGGTATCTCTGCGATGTCAACAAGCTTGAGAAGGGACAAGAAACGGGATACAACCTAATGGTCGAAAAATGAAAGAGCTCGGTTGCCCAGGCCAATGTTCTAACTGAACATATGCAGACCTACGAAACCTGTTCCACCAGTACCGCGCATTGAGCAAGGTTTTCTGGCTCAACCGCTTGATCACGTAGAGGGAAAAAAAGAGTTATTGCAATAACCAAATGCGAAGCCTTATACCTACCCCAAGCTCATGTGTGGGCTAGACAGCGCCGCACAGGTGGCAGCTCTAGGGTTCTGTGAGGACGAGTGTCAACAGATGCCAACTGTTAATCTTACAATTGCATGATTTGCATTTCAAACTTGGATTTTGTGCCTTTGTTATCTGCCGTCGGCTACCTAATCGCTTGAGAAAGTATTGCGGAGTGTCCACCAGACTGCCTTGTCGTTCAAGAGTTCTCAGCATCAGCCACCTTTATACATTGCCTCAAGAGGGGTTTAACCTCGATGCAAGCGCAATGCAAGATATCTGTAGAATGTCTGGGCTTTTCAATTTCATCCCGGATGTCCGATAGGGACCCAGATTTCTTGTCTAGAGGTACCTATGTCTGAACACCTCCCCCTCTCCTCAAGTGTTCACCCCTGGATCCCGCCAGGATAGATCGACTGGGTCTGTAACAATAACACCAGTAGTGTCCCGACGCAGCCTTCCGAAAAGAAGAGTGAAGATTTCACATCGTGTGGGTTCCTATCCGACGTATTCAAGAGGCCAATGAGTTCCCAGTTAAAAGCTCACTTCTTCCACAAACAGAATACAGGGGAAATGCCAACTCCCAGCCTTGGACGATCGAACGTGGCCAATATAGACTTCCAGAGAGCTTTTGAGCTTCTCTTAGTGTTGCGCGCAGAAGTAAGTCATCCATTTGCAGGACCCTCTTTCAACGGCAGCACTGGACTAACACTCACGGATCTTTAGCAAGTACGCATCCGGGCGACTTTACAGGCCCTCCGAACCAGTCTTTGGGGTTTCTTAGCTCTGCCGGACGACTTGCGCCCATCAGATTGGGTTACCGAGACGGAGCGAATACTTGAGGCGGCCAGAGAAGTAGAGGAGCGCTTGGATTTCATCGCCGTAATTATGGCAGCGGTTACTCGCCGCATCGAATTTATAGAACAATTAACATAATACTTCCGACCGCTGCTACCTTTTGGGTTGACCAAGGAAGATACATCTACGAATTGAGTTATTCCTCGTGTTGGTTCACGAAGCGTGGAGGAAACTGCTCCGTTAGGTGTCAAGGAGCAACTTAGCTGCGAATTAACTCAAAACCGGAGAGACCGAAGACCTGTCATGGGAAGAATGTGACCAAGTTCGCGGCTGGAAAGAGTAGTACCCGAAATGAATAATGGAACACCTCTCCGCAAAAGCCGCAAGAGGCGCGAGTTTCTTCCACCCACCAGAGAGATGATCTTGATGCAAATGATGGCTCCTTCCTCCCATATAGCAATATATTCATATCGTGATACACATGTACACATGCTCTTTCCCAGCTCGTTCTGTGACTGATGCTAATTGATCATTCATTGTCTAATGATCGTCTAAAGTACAGATACCATGTGATCGAGGATGACCTGCGTGCTCCTCCCAGCCAGGTTCTTGTTCTTCCGTCTGTCGAAGAAACTTTCTACATCTACCGAGTCAAGCAATGTCAGACATGAGATGATCATTTGGGGCCATGTACCTATCTGCCTATATCCGTCTTCACCATCGATGAATAAGAAGATTTTATTTCAGATAGCCAAGTGACGTCGACCTCGGGTCATCCAAAGCTACCACATCGTGACTAAATGAGACGGCGCACAATCGAGACCGAGACTAAGATCGAGCATGCTACATTGTGGCACACCTTCAGAAGTGGGTGATGTCGGCAGTCGCTGATGAAGTCGAAATATCACGGTGTAGAAACAACGGATTTCCGAGCGTTCAGTCGCCGACCGATCAGCCAAAATATGCCATCCTTTCCGATACAAAAACACCTCGCCGGTATCGACAGCTCGAACGCTCCGAAAGTGCCTACTTTCTTGAGCTGGTTGAGATGCCGCAGGCGTAGCATCGACTACGACGACGAGGACCAGCGGAGGTGTTAATAGACAAAAAATTCCTTCAAGACAACCAGCTATACTGGGAAGTTGACCCAGAAATATCAGAAGTCACCCAAAGTCCTTCCTGGAGGATTTCTGTACCCAAAACTTTACCTTCACTCTGCCCTTAGATCGGATGGAAGGTCTTGAAACACGCTTTTTTTTTTCGCTTCTGCCAAAGAAGGGGCAGCCACAAACCCTTGACCTTCGTTTCACTTTTTCGCAAACTTTCGCTCCAAATACTGACCGCCAATCCTTTTGCGGCCAACAAGCAAGCTATTTTTTGCCCCGGAGCAGGATTCTTCTCCCGGCGCAACCCCCGCATCAGTTGGTCGAGCACCACCGCTACTCGCGACAGCCGCCAAGATGGTGAACTCCCTCCTTGCCTGGACTGAGGATGAGCTCCAGTACCTAAAAGCCGTCCTGCGATGGAAGGATTCGCCCTCGGAAGAATACAAGCGACTTTCCGATAGTGGCGCAAATGATGCGCTCTCCAACCTCGATCCGCACAATTCGACATCGCCACAAGAACCCAAACAAGAGGAAATCAAGATCCTCATTCTCGGCGCAGAGGGAGTAGGAAAGACGACACTCGTTCAGAAGGTAAGCAGGAATGCGCCAACCCCTCCCCTTCTCATTCACTTTTCGTTGGTTTGTTAGCGAACACATTCGGGCACCGACAAGATCAACGGTGACAGCGATTCCGAATACAGAACCATGATCTTCCCCATCTCTTGCACAAGCGGCTTCTAAATCAAGTTTCTTCAGTTCTCCAAAACTCATCGCCACCCCTCCACCTCGAAACCCAACCGATACCTCCTCCCCCTCCCCTCAGATAGCTCTTCCAGCAGCGAGAACTCAACAGCCTACACCCTCCATACCCTCGAGCTCCCCCACCCCTGGTCTACCACCACGCGCACCACGCACCCGCATCTATGGACACGCACCCTCACTGAGTACGATGGTGCCCTCATCCTCTACTCCGTTACCGATCCATCCTCCCTACAACACGCCATATCCATCGCCTCCGCCATCTGCGAGCACTTTGCGTCCCTCCCACAGTTCAGCGAGAACTTGGTGCCCTTCAACAAACCGATCGGCCGAGGATCCAAGGCGCATTATCTTCACCTCAAAAAGACAACCAGAAACGTGGTCAGAGAATTCGCCATGGTGATGGTGGGAAACAAGAATGACGTGGATATCCTGGGCGGCGCTGCTATTGCTGCTACTGCCGCTGCCGCTGCTGGTTCACTGAGCGGACTCGGACTCGGACTCAGTGAAATTGGAGAGAGAAAGGTGTCAACCAAGGAAGGAAAAGAAGCCGCCAAGAAGCTGGGACTGGGTGAGTCGTGGTTTGAGACGTCGGCGGGTGTGACGGGGGAGAATGTCGATGCGGTTTTCGTGCAGGTGGCTAGGGAGGCGGTGAGAAATAGGAAAGAGTATAAGGAGAAGAAGGGTGAGATTGAGAGGGGTGGGAGCAAGGGTTTGTTAAAGCGGGATTCGGAGGTTGGGAGTACGGCGACGAGGAGTAAGGTGGGTGGATTGTGGAAGAGTCTTACCACGGGGTGGTTGCCGTTGTTCGGGAAGAAGAGAGGTTAGGACGGAAAGAATTGTGGTGACGTTGCTTTGCTTTCTGGAGTACGATTCGGCCCCTGGTAAGAGCCTTTGAATGAGGACGACACTCTGATCGTGGAATCTGGGTAACATTGACGAAGCATGAAAGGGGGAAGCAAAGGGATTTATGGTCAGGGAACCGGACAAAGGTGTTATTGTATTTTGAGCGAAGATACCCCGAAGATCCGTTGCATTCAGATTCAAATACCAGATATCGAGACTAATAAGAGGCTAAGCCAGTTACTAGGTACGGGCATGGAATATCCCGGTGGGCGGCCGATAGTTGTTATATGTGAAAGAAACTGTGATGTCGCCACCTGAGACTTGTTACTGGCCTCCCGCCGTAGGAATTTCATTTGTACAAAAATCCTGTGGTCTAATATCTCCTCAACCTTATTGTAATCTCCAAAGTGTTGTATGCCCATTGATCCGTGGTATTCCCATAAAGAAAGACAAAACGCCTCGCTGCCTATGATATCACTTCCGCCCATTGGCACCCTTGTTTATGCGATCACGACGTTATCCAGAAGTAGATAGAGTCTCTGAAGCGAGTCTAATACTGGCGAATTTCTATGGCACCATTCAACAACGCCTGCCTGAAGAGGTCCGCAAACGAGGAAGTAGTACGGCAATCACTCCTCTCCCTCTTTTCCAGAGCTTCTGGCAACCACTCTAGGATCTTTTCGATTCTGTTCGAGTGCTGTGCCGACAGCGTCAGTACCATGCTTAACAATCAATGACCCGACACAAGCAAACGGAGCGCAAACTTACCGAAGGATGCGTGCTCATCCACTCGGGCACTTCTCCTTTTGACATCCTTTCCATCTTCTCCCAAAACGTTACCGCCTCCCGCGGATCATAGCATGCCTCCGCCATCATCATCAAGCCGATATAATCCGCCTCGCTCTCCTGCTTGCGGCTCATCGGGTTCGAGATCGCAGTGTCGAGCGCCCACGCGCCCGCAAACTGGGCGATGATAGCCCCAAGCCCCAAAGCGCCGCAGAGCACCACCAGACTATAGAGCAGGATATTCAGGCCCAGGGTCTGCGACATGCGCTCGCCAACATGGTCGGCGACGTTATGTGCAATCTCGTGACCGAGCACCGTCGCCAACTGCGAGTCTGTCCTGGCTAGGTTCAATATCCCGCTGAAAACAAACACCTTCCCGCCCGGCAAAACGAACGCGTTGGCCTTGTGCGGATCATCAATCACGAAAATCTCCCATTTTTCGTCTTTCATGCCGCTAAAGGGAATCAGTTTCGCCATCACCCGCTTCACGCGCTGCGTGCGCCAGTCCCAGTCAGGCAGGATGGCAACGCCTTGCTTTTGCAAATCGTACAGTAAGCGGCGGAAGGAGAGTTCGCCGGCCTCGAGTACCAGCTTGCGCGAGTAGATGTTGAAGCGCGTACGGCCCGAAACGGGCACCGTCTCGAGGTTGATGAAGTAGAAGATGACGGTTCCCGCGACGCAGAAGACGAGAAGATATTTGGTGTTTTGGTGCCGAGCGGCCCGCTTGAGGTCTTGGTTCGTGAAGAGCGGGTCGGCGTAGCGGCGGTGGACGCCGTAGGGGTCGGCACGCTCGTTAAAGGAGCGGTTCCACCAGTCTGAGGCGAAACGGCGTTGTTGCGCCCATGGAGGAGGGCCGGTGATTGGGGGTAGGCGGGTTGTCGTCGGTCGCCATGGTGTTGGCGTCGGTGTGAAGGTAGGGCTCGCTGCTCGGGGCTGCTGGAAGGTTGGGTTGTCGTGTATGATGCTTCGGCTGGCTTGTGAGGTGACCGCTGTCGGGGATAATGCTGTGCTGAGGCGTGCGCATGTTCGAAAAGCTCCAGACGTAGCAGCGACTGCCTGGATGCCTACGACAGCTGCGAGACCGGTCCGTTGCCCGATCACTGTAGAAGCTACACCAAGCGATGGTCGGAGATTAGGAAGCATAGTATGGAATATGGAAGTGTCGCAAATTGTATATGTTACTTTCAACAAAGGTCAAGAACTCCTAGGTACAGCATGCAAACGAACGAGACCGTTTCGGAAACGTAGTTCGACACATGGTAGAAAGCAAAGCTAAAGAAGGGTTTCAGCCACCATAACGTGGCTTGCGATAGGATGTGTTATTCAAAGTGAAAGGTGTTGTTTGCTGACTTCGTTGCTGTGCACTGATGCGGTGGAATTCCGGCGAAGGTGGCAGATGAAAGCCCGGAATCTGACAAAATGACAGGTCCGTGACATGAAGACAAAGGGAGCTTCCACAAGCTCCGTCATCGCGCAGGGAGCGGACGACGTTCGGCAGGCAAGGATAGATGGGAGAACTGAAGGCTTGGCATTGGTGGAGCCAGTCGCGATAAGCTGAAGTGGAGATAACGCATCAAGCGGGCAGGTCTTGGCAGGAGTGATGGTTGCGTCTGGTATGCCTTCTTCCAATGAAGGCCAATAATCTTCAACTGTGAGAGAGTTGAGAGTTGTTAGAGAGTGAACAAGAAGCCGCCAATGTTCAGCAACTTCAGCTGTCGGGTCATGATGCTTCTAGCCCTTTGGAAGGATTCCCAACAATGGCCTTGAGGCTCGGAGGATTGGTAATCTACCCGATACACATGTCGAGCGGGATCATGCGACCTCATGGCCGGGTTGGGTTGGGGTATCACGACATGCGCTCGCGGTCCATACCGTCAGCTACCTAGACTCCGCGGAGGTGTGGTGGTACCAGCATGGATTGTGCCTCAACAACCTCGTGTCTAGTGTTGATCAAAGGATTGGATGTTGGTAATGCCTCAACTCTCATGGAATTACCATGGCCAGAGACTTGTTCCCAACACTTGGTCTGCATGAATACCCCTCATGTTTGCATATGTCACAGTGTTGCAAGCCCCAGTGCAATGATACGCCAGGACGAAGGGGGCATACTACTACTATCAGGTTCAAGTTCTGCTGGGAGAAGAGGGCAAGGTTGCCTATGCCATACTGTATATCTTGCCGGTGTCGACGCACTTTGTGTCGCTCCTTCTTTAGACAAAGGCTGTTGGTGATGGTTTGCAGAGTGCAGTTGCAGAGACCGAACCTAGCTCCTTCCCGATATTGATATTTCTAATCCTCTGCAGTGCACTCCCCGAGTGATTTTCCCCAGGGATGGAGAAGCATCAATGGATACGATTTTTTACCGTCACCAACGACACTTTCAGCCTCGCCCGGCTGCATGCCGTCTGAGATTTTGGTTAACTTTGGTTTGTTTGCTTTACCTAAAATCACCCCCTGCCCGATGCCCCAGTCCCCCCTCCCGTTCTGCCTCCCGGTATAAGTCCTGTCTCACCCCAAAGTCAGTTCCGTCTACGACACAAACGTGGTGGTTACGCGCCACGATATACGATTCATTCTTGGTTCGTTGTCGCTGAGCAGCCTTGCTCACTTACCTCTACTCTCCCCATCACATGCACCGTGCCACTATCGCACGGCATCCTGGCTTCTTCTGAGTGCTGACATCCCCCGAAAATAACAAGGCCAGAGTCACATTCTGGTCCCGTCAGCCTGGATCGAGGTAGATTAGCCTGGGCCAATGATGGCTTATACGACCCCCAATCCTCTTGCTGTCGAACCCATGAGCAACGAAGTCGATACAACGATCCCAGACTCCCCCTCAAGTCTTCCTCAGACTCCCCGCAACACCAAATCTTCGTGGGTTGCTCGCAACAGAAACAAACTTCTTAGGCGTATTGCTCTCTTCAAGTCACCCAAGATGGAGGCACCCATGATAGCCTCGACTTCACCTACGCCTACAGACAATCAACACATTGGAACAGAGTATGTCTCTACCCAACATGAGGAAGCTCCTCGCTCTGTTTCCCCCGATTCAGCGTTAATCGGCATGGGCCACGATGGAACACACGGAGAGGGATTGCAGTCGCCGCCGCCGCCGCCGCCGCCGGCGTCCAACCCACAATATCAGTACCAGAACGTTCCCTCGCCGTCATCATATCCGCAGTTTCCAAAGGAGGCGGACTTGGGCATCTATGCTACTTACCCTGCAACGTTCTCCGGAGGATCCAATTCATACTCGCCGCCACCCATGGGAATGTACGGAGTATTGCCCACGACACCTCAAGTAATTAACTTCCAGAACTGGGGACAGGCAGATGATGTCCAGTGCTTGATAAGTTCCCGTATGTAGATATAATGGCCCATCGAAACCCACTTTCTCCGCAACTAATTTCTATCCTTAGCTCAAACCCCGTTCACCCCATTCGGACAGCCACCTTTTGCACAGCCAGTCTATGGACAAGCAGGACAGGGACAGCCGCCCTATGCACAGCCGCCCTTCGAATGCTCTTCCCAGCGCGGCCCATATCGCGACAAGGTCAGCTGGCTTGGGATAACGTTGTGGTCCCTGTCCATTTTTTCAACCATTGGGAGCGGGATCTGGTTGGGTGTCGCCTTGATTCAGCCCAAATGGGGAAAGACAGTTTCCTCCGCTCATGGAGCCCTTCCACCGTCGACAGCTTCTTTGCTCACTGCCCTGATTGCCAAGTTGATCGAAACCTCCTTCGTTGCCGTGTTTGTTGCCTCTGTTGGCCAGATCCTTACGAAAAAGGCCTTTGATGTTGGCAACAGAGGTGTTACGTTGGGCGAGTTCGGCATGAAAAACTGGGTTGTTGTAAGTCTTCGACACGACCTATTTGCCAGTACGCTTGCTAACTGTTCACAAGTCGCCAGGCTTGATGTTCACGAATATCAGACCCTGGAAGAAAGTGGGATTTACCCCTTTGGGTGTTCTATGTATGCTCGCCACCCTCGTTGCAGTGTTATACACCACAGCCTCGGACGCTCTCGTTGCTCCCAAATTGAAATGGGGCAAACCCGAAATGATCGTCATGAAGAATTACGCCATGACTAGCTATGGGAACGTACAATTCGTCAAGCAAAGCTGTCATCTGCCGGATGGGCTGCTGGCCGATGACCAGAGCCAAGATAGTTGTCTTGCTGCGTCTCTCTCAGGTTTCTGTACGTCAAGAGCAACGCCATCCCTCCAGCACAGTTCCGGGAAATACCATTAGCTAACCGTCAGTGTAGCATATAATGACTTCCAAGCCTTCCTGTAAGTCGTATAGCATCAGGTATTTCATATACTTTGCATACTAACGGCTTTTAGGTCCACATGGTCAGACTTTGGCCGGAACAACACAAAGCCAGAGGGACGTTACATGTCCAACAGGCCCCCAGTAACAGCAACGCTCTACGACAATGTCACTGTCACAGGGACGTGGATTAATACCGAACATAGTGACCCCATGGCAAGCTACGAGAAGTACAAAAGAACTATCAACAATGTGACTCTAGCAGTTCCTCACCCTGGTAAGATCATCCTATAATCAGCTTCGCAAGCACATGCCTAACTATGTGCAGGGGTGTACGACGCAGCAACAGATCCCGTTAATGAAATACTTCAGCCCAGCGATCTTTCCGGAGTAGGAGAATACAGGTTAGCGGCAAGCGCGGTCAGCCCGGCGCTGAATGTCCTCTGTGTGGGGATGACCGAAGAGGAGCTTGCGCCTCTTGTATACACAACATGGCCTCATGCCAACTTAACGGACGCGGAGCTCCCAGGCGAAAAGACAGGTGGGTTGAATTGGTTAGACGATGTCCCTCCATCCAGCGAAAGTGAATGGGTCAATGGGACTGTTCTCAATGCCACCGTTGTGGATGACATATTTAGATGGGGCAAAGGCTACCAACGACGACCACCGGTCTTTCAGAGGGTAAGCATGCTTCCAACCATTTCAATAGATCACGCTAATTAAATCCGGGTGGGCAGTTTCCGTCAGAATACAACGTAATTATCAATGCGACAGTCGCAAGTTCAAACGACTGGACCCACAAGTCAGGCTCTGTCTATACACTCGTCAACAACAATGCCACGGACGACTACACGTTGTGTGAGATCCGGTCGTGGCTCTCCATCAACTGTTCAACGCATCTCAACATCTCAGGGACGACCGGCGCTCATATGTCGGCAAACTGTGAAGATGAACACGATCCAGTCAGCTACCGCAAGTCAGTCCCGGGCGCTGTGGAACTGGATGAGTCTGACTGGAAGTGGTTAGCGCAATCATGGCAGCTAGCCATTTATATGAACTCCGGGTTGACGACCCTAAATTCTTCACGAGATCGCATACTGACTGCACTACCATTGGAGGATCACCACCTCCCCAACAGAGTGCCATCCCTCGCTGAAGTCCTGGCGGCACTTGTCAGCCCGACATTGATCTCTGGCTCTATAAAGACGCCTGTTGTTCACTATTGGCACCCAGAGACGACACCAGTTGTTTTGCCGGGATGGGAGAACAACTTTAACGCTTCAATCACGAAACAAGAGTACACATCGGGCTCTGCTATGGATTGGCAACGCGCATTTCTAACAATCCTGATTATGGGGTTTTTACTAAACTTGTTTTGCTTGGTTCATTTGTTCATTCAGCTCAGGGGTCGGCCACTTACCGACTTCACGGATCCTGCAAACTTGTTTGTCCTGGCCATCAATTCTCCTCCCAGTCAGGCACTCAGCGGAACATGTGGAGGAGGACCCACAGGTTATCAGTTGGATGTGCCATGGCGTATCGGCTACTCAGAACAATCAAACCACTACTTCTTTGAGGAAGCAACTGAAAAGAGGCAGAGGCTCAAGAGGAAGAAGGCAATTGGCCGTCGGGATATGGTCACTTCGGAAATGGAGCTGGTAGACTTCAAAGATGGCGACATCAAGGCAAAGATGGATGACCCGAGGCAGAGCTATGTCAAGTTGAGCAACCATAAGAGCTGGCTGTAAGGTTATTTATCCGGAGGAAATAATGGTGCTGATTCGGGACGGGACATGTCGCAGCATGGATATCTGCTGTCTGTAATACAAGGGGAAGTATTCAATCATAACACATGATTTTGCACCTCCATCCTACATTTCCCCCTTTCTTATTGACGCTACGTCGTAAATTGATGTCACCGGTACTCGAAAGCGAGTAGCGTCTGCGGATAGTCCCTCATAATTCTGAGTGGATAACAAGATGATGTGCAAGGGGTGTGGTACAAGCAGCCCAAAGGGTACCATTGACCGCGGAACGAAGCACAACTGATAATACCTGCACAATCAGCCAGGATTTTCCCCGCTGGTATAGTAGGAGAGTTCTGCTCGAAGGATAAATGGCTCATCGACATTGTCTTTTTGATCACACCCAATGACAGGTCCAAACCAACGACTGGGAATATTCGCGCGAACCACGTATGGAGGACCAAAAGCCCGGTTCATTTGGCACCGATAAAAATCACATATTGACGTTCCGCGCTGATGATTTCGGTCTCTATCAGGAATTCAAGTAGCCTGCGGGATTCTATACCCTGGACTCCGTTGAAAATGAAGTTGTATTCTTGGCCGCGTTGTCTACCGACATCCAGGGGCAACAGCTTAGAGATTTCATTGTAGCAAATGGAACGTGATGCAGATTGGTAGTACTTTTACTACTTCTAGGAGCACATGGCGGCAACCTTGATCAGACTGCGGGTGTGAATATGTGCACCCCAATCTCACGAGGACAAATCGACGATAGTGCAATAACCGGTCCCATGGGAGTGACCCATCATCGCGTCCATAAATAAAAACCCAAAGTTCACGATTCTGTACCATTTCTTACATCAACAATAGATTTGCATTTTACTTGTAGTTGAACAACTGGGTAATGTTAACCTTTTGTCGGAGCCCATTTTATGCGAAGTAAAATTCTCCAAGTCGCTGACTTTTTCTAAACACTTCACTACCTTCAATAAGTAACCTTCCAGTCACGCATCCCTGGTGTAGACACCACTCAAACCGATTGTTAAACATACCGTTAGTGTTTAGGCCCAGTCTTCCTATGTCATCCAAGATGACCGAATCCCCAACGTAAAAAGAACCAGTGTATTTCCCATGGGAAGCTGCTCGCTTGATGCAAAGATCATCATCTTCCAAGGCGGTTCACGGTAATAGGCAAGAGCTCTGCGCCGCTGCTACACTGCTTCCACACACCCGGCAAGGAAAAAAATGAGGTTTATTCTCTTCCTCCTAGCAGGCGCCACCCACCTCGCTCTTTCCACCGCCAAACAAAACTGTCCCCTCTACGGCCCGCTCTTCCCCAAACCGACCAACCTGCTCCAAAATGCAGCCATCCAAGCGGCCGCAAAATCCTTAGACGAGATCTTCCTCAAGTACATCGATCACGACAACACCACAGGCGCAGACCATTTTTCGTACGCGGTCGAGGTGTTTTCAGGGAGCGAAGACACACCGCTATGGTCGCACTACTGGACCGCACCGAACCTGGAGGTGTTCAACTCGACGGGCGTCAGCAAAGTCGATACCAATACTGTCTTTAGGGTAGGCAGTATTACCAAGATCTTTACGGTTTTGGCATTTTTGGCGACGGTGGGTGATCGAGTGTGGAATGATCCGGTTACAAAACACCTACCGGAGCTGGCAAGGTTGGCGGAGAAGACGCCTGGTGGTTCGATGACGGTGCCGGATTGGGAGGAGGTAACATTGGGAAGTTTGGCTAGTCAGACGAGTGGGCTGATACGGGACTGTAAGTTATAGCCCTCTTCCCTGACGACAAGACGAGACCGGGAGCTGAGCTAACTTTCGTGATGTGCAAAGACGCCCTCTTAGGAGAATTGGCATATGAAGTCCCCCTCGAACATCTCTACAAAATCGGGTTCCCGCCTCTCCCACTCGAAGAATTTCCGCCATGTGGTACCCTCCCTACCTGCAACAGGGACCAGCTATTTGCTGGATTGGGGAAGTTACCTCCTTCGTTCCCGACATCGTCGACGCCAGCCTACTCGGACATTAGCTTTGCCCTCCTTGGTTATGTTGCCGAGCGCATCACCGGAAAGCCTTTCAAGACTCTCGTGCAGGATTCAGTGTTGACGCCATTGAATCTCACACATACGTTCATGTCGGCGCCGGATGACTCGCTGGGAATTATTCCGGGAAATCGACACTCGACGTCTTGGGCGTTTGACTTGGCGGAGGAAGCTGCGTGAGTAACGCTGGAGTTCCCTGTTGGTAAGGGAGCCGTGAGCTTACTAGCATGTCATAGGACGGGAAATATGTATACCTCGGCGGGTGATATGTCCTCGCTCGGCCGCGCAATCATGCGCTCCACACTGCTCAAACCTGCCGTAACCCGTCGGTGGCTGAAGCCATCTGTGTTCACATCAGACGCGAAGTCAGCTGTTGGCATGCCATGGGGTATCCGGCAGCTTGACATAGGCTCTAGTACGTTCATATTGGCCTCTTTGTCGTTAACCACCGCTAACTCATTTCTCCCTAGACCAATCCTTCCAGATAACCCACGCCTTCAACAAACTCGGCTCTCTAGGAGCCTACACCTCCCTCCTCGCCATCATCCCCGACCTCGACATCGGCTTCTCCATCCTCGCCGCCGGCGACCCACCTCCTGGCTTAGCAATGGATATTGCCGACACTTTAACAACCACTTACCTCTCAACGATGACGTACGTCGCTCGTACCGAGGCCGACCGGATGTTCAGCGGTCAGTACCGGTATATGGGTAACATCACGGTTGCTGTCCCTAATTTTCCCCTTTCAAATTCCTCCAACTCAACCCCACCCAAGTACACCAATGGCACTATAGTCGAAAGAAAAAGGTTGAATTCCTCCCTCACAATCTCCACCTCCCCCTCCACTCCTGGCCTCGTCCTCGAGAACTGGATCTCCAACTCAACCGATATGTCCTTCTATGCCGTGGCCATCGGGTCTAACATCACGGACGAGTACCTTAACAAGATCAAACCATCCGTTCGTCTTTACCCAGCGGGCTTCTCCGAGATTTTACCAGATGGAAAGGGTAAAAGAGTCGCTTTCAAGGCCGTCTTCGAAGACTTGAGTCTGCCCGAACGGAAACCGGGGCTGCAAATGGGTACGGACTGTGCAACATGGGTTGGCGTGACGGGGGTGGTTTATGCCAGTCGGCCGTTGGATTTGTTTGTTTTTGAAGTGGATGGGGAAGGGAAGGTGAAGGGGGTGGAGAATGGAGCGTTGAGGGTTTGGTTGGATAAAGTTGGGTGACGTGCCGGTGAGATGAGGTGGCATGACGGGAGAGGAGGAAGGAAGAAGCAATGGAGGGAAGCGAAGGAGGAAAAAAGGTGGTAAGAAGGGGATTTCTGAAGGATACTGGCAATTGTGGAGAAAAGCAATTGAGGAGGGCATGGATGGGTTCATGGGCTCTGCATGAATGTCGAATGATGATGAATGGTCACCCTAACCACCTACACCTTTGAATTATTCTTTCCAACGCTGTGATATATCGTATTTTCTAGCTGTACATCCTAGCCGATTGTTGATATTTTATTCCTAGCTGGTTTTTATTTCTGAGCAGAGCCACTGACCTTGCGGGCATTATCGTCAAAGCCACGACAGGTTCTCTGTACTGCACTGAAGCATCGCCTTTCCATGTTCGTTAGCCCCACTTTAATCCACTCGTCAACTCTACGAGGACACTCGCAAATATCAGCACTTTCACGCTGACATATCATGATTTCAAGGCCACTATCTGGTAAACAGATGGAATTAGTATCTCATAATCTGGTTTTTGCTCATAATTTGATACTGTAATTGTGCGCGATTCGGGACGCTTTTGCTTTGACTGCCCGTTGCATGGGTGGGTACCCACTCTTTGATGTATACCGCAAGGTAGGTAGGTAACCCCGGGTGTGAGCTGCCCGGACTGGACTAGATGGTCATGGTTTCGCAATGTGGGAGTCTGTCTGGTGTTCCCACCGCCCACTGCACGGAATGAGGAAGTGGGAAAAGACCAACTCAAGGAAACGCAAAAAAAAAAAAAAAAAAAAAAAAAAAAAGAGAGAGAGAGAGAGGGAGACACAAAAAAGAATTGAGGGACAGAACCAACAATTTCCCATGAGGATTTTGTTCTTAGTGATGATTGTTAAACGCATTTTCTTTATTTCATTGATCTGAGGTCCGGGCCTTGCATATTCAATTGTGATGAGCGGTGTCTCTCAACTTCTGTATGTCCAATGTTTTTTTTCTTTTCAATTTTTTTTTTCAATTTTTTAAGTTCCAGCTCACCCTCTGTCCATTCTCTTGAAAGGAAATGTGTGTCGTGACTCCAAGACCGGCAATCCTCACACCCACGGTTAAGTCCATGTCCATTTGATAGGTTCCTACTCAGTGTTGCTGCACTGTGCTTTCGGTGGGCGTTGACATAACGTGATATAACACAAACTACTCGAAGCAAGGGATGGAAAGCCATATAAGGTTCAAAGTCAGCAGTTTGGAAAATTCACAGGTAAGATGGCCGTTGAAGTGCGTGCTGATAAATTTCGATTTTGGTCTTTTTTTCCACCCAGCCCAGCTTTAACCATGCTATGCTCAACTCCTTTCTCGAATGTTTATTTTGCCTTCCTTGCGTATGGTCTTGGATATTATACACAAATGATGTTGATGTTTGTAAGTTCGTTTGGGTATCCGTGATGTATCACAGCCAAGTGCCACAAGCCGAAGTATTTATGGTATGTATCCTTCTTGTCTGCTTGAAGTTCTGATCACAACCTTTCCGGTCGGTCATGTACTTAGTTCCAACGCTAACTATGTAGCGTGGTGTCTGTCTCCCATATTCTCGGGGTGACTTGCTTTCCTCCTCCGGCCTTCTCTTACTGTCCACTACCCCAAGACGCCGTTGTGATGCCCTAGCATGATTTGAAGACAGACAAAGAGAAACGAAATAAAAACAGAAACAGAAAAACGTTCGACAAATGATAGTAGGAAAAGAACACTCTTTGTCCGTGTATCCAACACGGTAGAGTATAGTAGGTGGTATAAACTCGGGCCAAAAGCAAGGGGGCATACAATGACTTGAGGTAGGGAGGTACAACGAGCACACAAAAAGACTTTCCCTTCTTGAATGCTTTGTCTCCTCTATCCCGCCCACTTCTTGTGGAGGGGTGGAATATCCATGCCCAGAGCAGGAAGCTTCCCACAAACCAGCCGACAAGTATACCGCCATCCGAGTGAAAAGTATCGCCGTCATGAAAATGGCTGCTCCGAAAAAACAAAAACTCCATTTATTCCCAAGGTCGTAAGAGGCGAAGATCATGGTATATTGCCAGTGAACTTCGATCGTTAATGCTCATAGCCGGCACCTCGTTGCCACGGGCTGTTTCAACCGTTAGCTTGCATTCGAATCCAGTCACGATTCTACAGAACAAACTTACCTTGCGTTATTGAGAGCCCTATACTGTGGCGTGAGGGTGGCGTTGCCGCCTTGTGGGCCACCGTACGGACTCGGTGACGGTCCTCGAGGATCAAAGTTCATACCTGGCTTCTCGCCATACTGAGGACCTTGGGTGTTCCGGCCTTCCGAAGGGAATAGCGGCATCGCAGGGTTAACCGGAGACTTTGGGGGAGCATTGGTGAAGTGTAGCCCAGCTCCACCAGCTGGCATACCGGGCTGAAGTTCAGTTTGACGACGAAGCGAATCCGAAGACATGGATTCCGCATCGTCATCGAGGTCGAGTCCCTTGAACCCGGACTTGTCTCCGCGAGCGGTCGCCGCAAGCGCATCCAGCTCGGTGGTCGTTGTAAGATGAGTCTGTGACTTCATGAAGAATGTCCTATCATCAGCCATGAACTGGTACCGATTATCGGGGTTCTCGCGGAAGAAGACAAAGATGGTAGAGCAGATGAGCATCAGCAGGTAAACCAGGGAGAAGATGGAGTTGGTAATCCACAAGATGAGGCCGATAACACCAGTGACGAGGGGCGGCTGGTTGAAGACTTCAGTGAACATGAGTAGGAAGATGGCGTTGATGAAGTTCATGACGCAAATGGCGATGTTGAACCAGTTGGTCTTCCTGTCCATCCAAGGGCGCATAACAGTAGCCGCGATCAAAGCGGCGGCTTCGATAATAAGGAAACCGACCGCCTGGGCAGTACCGTTGTTTTGTCCGAAAGCAACGAAGAGACCCTTAAGAATAGTATAGCCGAGAACAGGAACGATGAAGTAATAGGCCGAAGCTCGGAATTGGACGTAGAGGAAACCCCACTTGTTCAAGGCTTGAGGGTCGGAGAAGAGGATGTAAGCCGGGTTCTGGTGCATTACAACGGAGCGGCGCGCGATTCTGATAACCTTGAATGCGGCCCAGCCCAGGGTGACAAGCATACCCAGGAAGAAAAAGAGGGCTAGCACCATTTCAGCAGGCGAATCGTTTTGGGTAAACTCCCACATGCACATGACGGTCATGGCGGGGAAGCCAATAAGGGTAATTCTGAAGAGGATGCCCTTAAGAACGGTGAACCAGCCGTTTCGGAAATCGAGAAAGGTGTCGTGCTTCATCCAGCCCTTCTGTGCGGCCAATTCGCAGTATCCTTTCCAGCCAGCGACGCAAAGAATGGTAATAACGACGAGGACGCAGAAGAAGATCAAGCACGTCATGAACAAGTTGGTGGATTCGATATGGGCTCGGAAAGCCGCACGCTGAATGCCATACACGACATAGCTGCCGGTATCTGTCTGAATATTTCCGCGCTTGAGGAGTTCGTGCTTCATGGCCTGCTCCATGGGTTCAGAGATGGTCCTGGGCATATACGATATCGAACGCCTGGCCAAATCCGCACCATAATCCGCAACGTCCAGCGCACGCTTTTGAACTTGAACAGAGACTGTCGCCAAAGAGTCGAATAGCATCGAGGGAGTACCACCAGTCGCACGCTGATACCAGGTAAAGATGTCCTGCATGAAATTGACCTTGATAATACCCATGCTCCACTGGAAATCCTGGGTCCATCCCATCACGGCAGGTGGCAGAGGAACACCGGTAAGTCCAAGCATGGCCTGGGCCTGGAAATAACCAAAGAGAGAGAGGGCGTTGGCGGCAACGTGCGATGCGGCATTGTGATGACCGAGGCCAGAAACGAAGGCAGATGACGTCAAGGCGAAGGTGGCAACGATGGCCGTAGCCCATTTGACACCAGCCAAGTCGACGGTTTTTCCGTTGGTAATTTCAGCTTCAACACAGGCAACTGTTTGACCGGCCTCGTCTCCATCTGTCATGTTGATCCTGACTCGTACTTTGGCATCGATATCGGGAAAGTTATAGGCAATGCTGGGAATCTGTGCAACAGCGTTCTTGTCGACGGGCAGTGTGAAGTTGAGAGGAATCTTGCCGGCCGTCATAGGGCACAAACCCAGCAATCCGGAGCTGCAGGGATCGACTTGGGCGGTGATAATTTCGTAGCCGTAGGCCGAGATGGCAACGTCGAAGATGATTTTGCCTTGGATGGTAGAGACGGCGACGATGTCGACATTGGCCCTGCCGCTTTCTGGAGTATAAACGACGTTGAACAGACTAGCTGAGAAGCCCGAGTTCGCTTGACATGTTTTTAGCGCCTGAGACGCCAGCTTCTGTTCGCCAAAGACGGGAGATACGAGGACCGCGATCGACGCAAGGGCCGCTAGGGGCCGTGTTATCGAGAAGCGCATCTTGTTTGGTTTAGGTGATTTTCGAGTTTGTTGGTTTCTACGTTACCCCGAAGGGGTTACTGGGCGAGAGAAGCGATTCGCGGTCTTTGTCGTCGGCAGTTACTCGTTGGAAGATTGAAGGACCTGGTATGGTTCGTTGGAGAAAGCTGGTTGAGGGTGATTGACACCGGTGTAAAGTTGAGCTGAGCTGATTGTCAAAAGAAGACTCCCAAATGGATCGCTATTATCCAACATGAACAATAGCCAAGAATCAAGATCGGATGAACAGCGGAGAACGCTTGCCAATGCACAGGGGGCCGTGATTGTTTGTCGTCGTCAAAGGCCGGCTTTCAGGCTGTTGGATCGAATAGAGTCGAGTCGAGTCGAGTTCTCGTCGTCGTTCGTCGGGGTAGAAGAACTGGGGAACAGCGAAGGTGGTTGGCCGTTTCAATCCAACTTGATCCGTGTCACGTTTCCACAACTGAAACGAGCGTGTTGAAGAAAAGCGAGGGTTGGTCGCGGAAGAGGCGAATGGCGCTGACGGATGTGAGGTTTCGTCGCGACAGTGCGGATCCGGTTTAGTTTCTGTTCGCCCGGTTAATGTGGGAAACGAACCCAAGGAGGGAAGGAGGTTGCAAAGAATAGGAATAGAAGGGCTCAAGTTGTATTTCTGAAAGAAGGGGGGAGAAGAGGCCGGCAGAGGCAGCGGCACGATGCTGCTTGGGGACGGAGAACGCAACTGGGGGCGTAACTCCTTTGATTTGCAAAATAGAAAAAACGTGTGGGAGAAAGAAGGCAGTGTTGTGTAAGGAGTGAAAGAGGGTTGGTGTCATAATGAGAGACAAAACAAAACCGGGAGGGCCTAGGAACGGGCGAAGGAGAGAGCTGGAGAGCGGACTAGAGAGAGAGCAGAGGACGGGAGTGCGACAAGATTGGGGCCAGTGCTGAGATCGGGACCCGCCCTTGGCCAGGTACGACAAGGCACAAGTGAGGTGGAAAGGTAGCGCCCGCATTATGCAGCCCCGGGGAGATGAGGTGTGGCCCCACTAGCGGAGTACCTGCCTTCTGCACTCCGCACGTGCAGTCTGCCAGGTACCGTCTTAGCATTTTTGATGAGTTTCCACCCTTCAATTGTATCGTCGCACTTTGACACAACGGGACCCTCGCTTTGCTCCTCTCGTGTTCTTCAGGGGCACTTTCCCTCACACAGCATCGAGTGACACTGTTGATGAATGCCAACGGGAGAGGTTGTACAGGGCAAGACCTGAGTAAACGTCCTCATCTCGACAGGCCTTGGCTGCTTCTTGGAATGCGCAAAGGCCGATCTTAGGTTGCTTCGTCATCAAGCAGCCGCATATGCGCTTCTTTTTTTTTTTTGGTTGGCACTGCCCAAAATGCCTCCATTCTGCACATGCAGTCCTTCATCTCCATGTTACCACATTAATGTTAACCACTTCGGCATTCCATCCATAACAATTGTCAATCGCGCAGTCAGACAAAGACAGACACAAAGGAAAAAAAGAAAAAAAAAAGCTTTGCTCAGCACTTCATTCTGTCAGGCTTGGGGAATGCCAGTTCAGATGAAGAGACAAGGTACATGCAATACCAAAGTGCAAATGCTGCAAGTAACAAACGCTCTGCACAGCCCCCTTTGGCGCCGACCAAGGCCAAGACATCCCTCCCCCCAGAAAACCCATGAAGGGGAAAACCTCCTGACACAACCCAAGACACGGATCGTAACTCGACGGAATCTACGGACACTGGTGTTTCGGAAAGAGCACGCAAAAGGGTTCCACCGAACGAACAAGGTTCTCCGCTGCAACTGGACAACCTAACGGCCACGGCGCCGAGGCGAGCAAAGTCCAAAATTGGAGGGTCGACGTCTTCCATACGTCTTTCATACTGTCTGTCTTTTTACGTGTATAAGACACGCGGCTGGGAGGGAAGGGTGTGAGGAGTAAAGACCCTTCTTCCCTTTCAGTTAGTTCCCCTTGGTGCAAGTGCCGTCCGGGTCGGGGATTATCCTCTTCGCCAAGGGGTCTCAGTTGTGATTACATCCTGCACTGCCTGGTTTCTCATCTACAATCACAGCAATTCGCTCCTTTCATTTCACATCTCGAAGAAACTTCAACATTAATCATATTCACAAACTGAACCCAACAGACAGATGAAGGCTCGCTCCGGCAAAAGGAACCCGCGCTGTTCGGGCGGGTACGGCAAAGCTGTAGCCCCACCACTAGATTCCATCTGACTGACGTGCAGCAAAAATAGGCGCCATGGAGTCGTCGCTGACTGGCTAATCAGCCAGGGGTAAAATACTACATACACAGGCATTCCCATGCGTTCTAGACTATCTGTCACTCAGACCAAAGGCATCATCGCGACATTCTTCTCAATGACGTTTCCCGAGATGCTTCAGAATTCTTCGACTCCTCCAAAGTTCATATCATGGGTTTGCTGGATTAACCCAACAAGGACAGCTGCTTCCAAGATGCATGAATCGCAAAAAGTCATTTCACATTCGCCGATCTCCCCTCCCATTCTCTCCAGCCAATCGACTTTGCACCCTTTAAAGCCTAGCCCAACCAAGGATCTTCACGCTGATCAAACATTGGTGTCTGCTCGCGCTGTGGGTGTCCAAGGCGTTTCGTCATTGTGCCTCTTCAGTGCTGGACAGGCCTTACCGCCTTTGGATTGAAAGGAAAAGCAAGGAAGAAACCTCCGTCAAACACCAGTTACAAGTTCCAAGAAAGACGGATCAAGGGATTGCGGGAAGCTTAAAAGTTGACACGGACCGTGACAGCAATGTTCTAGAATTGCAATATTTGTGCTTGGCATGGTTATGCGCTTGCCCACCCCGGTTCATAATACCGGACTTTTAAACCGACTTAAAGGTCACAACCATCACGAACTGATATAAACTGACGGATTTCCCTCGGACATGCGGCTCTTTTTCTCTCTAACCTCAACCCAGAAGTAGATCAACAACAACAAGAGCAGGGAAACGGAACGACGAGATAGTCAACACTGCCCACTGCTCACTGCCCACCAGACCCACCACTACTTTTCTCAATTTGCACGATATTCCCGCGCGTGATTTACAGCCAATCAACTACATGACCTCCATCCCCAACCATTGCCATTTTTTCTTGAGCATTTGATCTCGGAAGTCGGGGGAACTGCTGTGAGGCAGTGCTCGGTCTTTAGCAGGACATAAGAGACGGATCGTCTATACCAACAGAAACAGAACAAGACATGTTCAGTCAAGTTGACCTTGACGTTGTTTGCCGAAACAAGATTTTTCACTGCGTATCAATCCTCAGTCTTCGGGACCAGCGGGCGTGAGGAAAACAAATTATAAATTTGGATCCGGTTCTACAAACCAGAAACGCTCAAGCTGCTTGGGATAACAAAAAAGAAGAAACATGGTAACACTGATTATCTAGGATCAATCAATTACTACAGAAACTAGACTCTGTCAATATCATCGGCCTAAATGACGGAAACTAGGTAATCGACTTTTTTTTTGCTCTAAGAAAAAACAAAGAAAAAATAGAGACTGGGACATTGTAAAGCTGTGAACCAAGTCGCAGTGATGCGAGTATCTTCCATTGTCCAAGATTTGATAAGTCTGCGGTAACTCTTAGCCATGGTCCATTCATTCAACTTTAACCGTGTGTTTCCCAAAGCAATTGGAATATTACCTCTTTCCAGCTCGCGTGGACGACTCTTCTGCTCTACTAAAAACAGATGGCTCGCTTCGTCATGCGATTTATTTCTCCTCGAAGCATGATCAACACTGCCGTAGTATAAGCACGTTGACTCGTGGAAAAGAACAAAAATCAACTGAGGGATGACCATGACGGATCAAAGTTACCTAGACGAAGCAAGTTCACAAGAACCTCTGAAGATGCCAGGCATCTTCAAAGGACAAGTGAACAAAGGGTTGGATTAGAACAGTTATTGGGCGTACAAGCAGAAACAGACTTATTCCCAGAACCTTTTCCAAAACGAAGGGGACAAGGAAAACAATTGAATGACAACTTGTAGGTAATAATGATAGAAGAAGCTTAAACGAATGGAAAATAGGTACTCAATACCATCACAGCATCATCGCATCGTCTCATCTCAATCATGTCCCCTGGCTTACTCACTGGAGCAACACGGGGGCATCAACTCCGGTCATCAACATCGTCATGCAATACAAGCTTCCCACACCCCCCCCCCCAAACCAAACTACTAC